TTCTTCCTGTTTACCTTCTTGTTTTGTGTGCTTCTCAGTTTTAAAGTAATTGATGAAGACATTCCTCTCTCAAAGTTATGTCAATTAAAATTTGATTTGCAGGTGAAACGCGAGTAGAAACTGTTATTGCGTTTACGGATCTTTGAGTACTTGCGTGGTGAAATTAGTCATTATTTGGGCTAATTCACTTTCAGAGATGTAAGCAAAAGAACGCAGACTGACTTTTTATCTCTGCATTGTGTTACTTGAAAAGTGAATAATATTAGAAAGAAGTCGCTCTGTTTTGACTTTACATTTGTCAAGGAGAATAATATATCATTCTCTTTTTACATGAAACCCATGGGACGTTTTTAAATTACAAAATGTCGCATCGAGTCGCGCGGCGGCGGTGTTGTCAAAGAAACAGTAAAATTTACACCATCTATAATGACATACGGGGTTCGTACTGGAGAACAGTTCGGCGACGGGAGTGGACCACAGACGGGGAGCTAAGCAAAGCATGTAATAACATAAATGTTTGGTCATATTTAATTCTCTGCGAAAGCATACAGGATATCTATTGATTTGTGTTGAGTATTTAATGGAATATTTGAAATACAATAATGTGGAATGAATACTGTAGGAAGAGACGGAGATATGTGTGGTCATGTCTCCATGTTGTCTTTCTCCTTTCTCTTTGTGAACGGACTTTTCAAATCCGATACTCCATTCAGGAGGAATCACCGCTCGGAACTGCAGTTGGCAATGTAGCTAAAGACATTGGATTGGATACAAGCCGGCTACTGGATCGGAACCTGCGTATTGTTAGTGGAACAAAACAGGATCTTTTCCAGGCAAACCAGAGAGACGGCGCTTTGTTCGTGAACCAGAGGATAGACAGAGAGGACCTTTGCGGTAAAACGACTCCATGTTTGATTAACCTGAAAGCTTTGATAGAGAACCCACTGGAAATGCATCACATTACTGTAGAGATTTTGGATGTGAACGATAATTCCCCGAGTTTCCCGGATAAAGATTATCATTTAGAAATACCCGAATTGACGGTGATCGGAGCGCGATTCCAGTTGGAAGGAGCGCAGGACCCAGATATCGGACTGAATACTCTGCGATCATATAAACTTAGTCAGAATAATTACTTTAATTTGGAAATAGAGGAATTAAGCGAGAACACTAAAATTCCATTTATAATACTCAAAGCACCTTTAGACCGAGAAATTATTCCACAATACAACATGCAGATTACGGCTATGGACGGTGGCAGTCCGACTAAGTCTGGTTCTTTAAATATTTCGGTTAATGTTTTGGATGCTAATGATAACGCGCCTGTATGTGGAAAGGACAAATATTATGTCACCATTGCTGAGAATGTACCATTGGGCACTGTGTTAATTCAAGTAAATGCATCCGATCCTGACGAAGGAGTTAATGGTGAGGTTGAATATACCTTTCGAAGTAAATTCAAGGGCAAAACGTCTGAAGTTTTTCTTCTAAACAACAAAACGGGTGAAATACAAATAAATGATGTGATTGATTTTGAAACGAAAAAGATTCATGAGATTAAAGTTCAAGTATCTGATAAGGGATCTTCACCAATGACTTCCTACTGCAATGTGTTTGTGAAAGTGGAGGATGTGAATGATAACAAGCCTGAAATAGACATCGCCTCTTTATCCGGCCAGATTCCTGAGAACGCGCCTTTAGGGACCGTGGTAGCGCTGATTGGAGTAACAGACCTGGATTCAGGTATCAACGGGCGGGTATTTTGTACATTACCCGAAGACTTGCCGTTTGAGTTGAAACCTTCCACCGAGGGAAACTTTTATTCATTAGTGACAAATGGCAACTTAGACAGGGAGTCAGTACCACAGTATGATATAACAATAACAGCGATGGATATGGGGACCCCTTCATTATCGTCTGTTAAGACAATCCGGGTGGAATTATCAGACATTAATGACAACAGTCCGGTCTTCTCACAGAGTCCCTACACCTTTAACATAATGGAAAACAACGAACCTGGTGCGTCAATATTTGCCATCAGCGCCACTGATGCTGATGAAAATGAAAATGCTCTCCTTTCATATTCATTTGGGACTGTAATTTCAAGTCAAAGTGCAATATCTTTCTTGAACATTAACCCCGATAATGGTATTATTCATGCATTGAAAAGCTTTGATTTTGAAATAATGAAAACTTTCCGGTTCCAAGTAGTAGCTAAAGACTCCGGAACTCCATCACGAAGCAGCAACGTCACGGTGAACGTGTTCATCCTGGATCAGAACGACAACGCTCCGGTCATCCTGTCCCCAGTCAGTACTAATGGATCCACTGAGGGTGTGGTGGAGATTCCCCGCAATGCAAACGCAGGTCATTTGGTGACTAAAGTAAGAGCCTATGATCCTGACAT